GTCTGTACCTCTGTGTGTATATTGTGTAGGCTGCCTCCTCTCTCTCTCTCTCTCTCCCCAACCGGTCGAGGCATCTCTCTCTCTCTCTCTCTCTCTCTCTCACCCCAACCGGTCGAGGCAGATGGCCGCCCACCCTGAGCCATGGTTCTGCTCGAGGTTTCTGCCTCTTAAAAGGAAGTTTTTCCTTGCCTCTGTCGCCTAGTGCTTGCTCTTGGTGGGAACTGTTGGGCTTCTGTAAATAGCATCATAGAGTACGGTCTAGACCTGCTCTTTTATGAAAAGCACTGTGAGATAACTGTTTTTGTGATTTGGCGCTATATAAAGAAAATTGAATTGAATGTGATTTACTAGGGAACCAGCAGATGGCAGTATTTGATTTACCATCTGCTGGGACCCAATGACCAGGATTTCTGTTTTGTCTGAGTTCAGCTGGAGGAAATAATTTGACATCCATTTTTTAACTTCACAAAGGCAGTTGTTAAGTGAACTCAGCATTCCGGGATCTGTGGATCTGACGGGCAAGTATATTTGTGTGTCATCAGCATAAATATGATAAGAAATGCCATGTTTATGGATAATATGTCCAAGGGGAAGCAGATACAAGGAAAACAAAATGGGTCCTAAGACCGACTCCTGAGGCACACCATATTTAACTGGACAGAACAAAGAGACATTGTTTACAGACACGCAAAACTTCCTATTTGACAGGTAGGATGAAAACCATTGTAAGGCAGTACCAGAGATCCCCACCCAGTGCCTCAGTCTGTCTAACATGATGTTGTGATCAATGGTGTCAAAAGCAGCAAGGTCGAGGAGTACCAGGACTGAGCACATGCCTTCATCAGCAGACATTAAAAGGTCATTGGTGACTTTAAGCAGGGCAGTCTCAGTGCTGTGGTACTTCCTAAAACGAGATTGAAACTTTTCAAATATTTTGTTATTTTCCAGTACAGTGAGCAGCTGTTTGGACACAATTCTTTCTAAAACCTTTGCAATAAAAGGCAGTTTTGAAATTGGTCTAAAATTTTGTGGGAGGGAGGGATCTAAACCAGGTTTCGTTAAAAGTGGGTTCATACAAGCCATTTTAAAATAATCAGGGACACAACCAGTGGATAGGGAGCTGTTGAAAACAGAGATCAAATAGGGCCCAACAGAATCCATTACTTTCAGTAAAAACTTTTGTAGTTATTACATCAAATAAGCTGGAGACACTCCCATTTCTGATACTGTTTTCAAAAGCTCAGACAAGTTGATGGGATAAAACTGGTTAAAACTCTCTTGTTGCTGGTGAGGAACCTCTGAGTAAGAGGCCACGGGGGTAATAGAGGCTCTGATTGACACCACCTTATTGGTAAAATAAGATAAAAACAATTCACAGTCATCATTACTTCCAGCTGAGGCACAAGGAGGGGTTGAGTTTACCAACTGATCCACAGTCTTAAACAGAAACCTGGGATTGTGTTTATGTGTAGTAATGAGTTCAGAAAAATAGTGTGTTCTCGCATCCTTAACCATGTTATTGTAGTTAATTAATAAATCCTTCAGACTGAGGTAATGGACTTGGAGAGTGGATTTTTTCCATCTGCGCTCTGCTTTCCTGCATTCCCTTTTTAGGCTGTGAATGCTGTCATTTATCCAGGGTTGCTTACTAGCTTTAGACGTAGGCCTAACCTTTAGAGGAGCAGTAATATTTAGTGACGACAAGCAGATATGATTGAAGTGATCAGCCAGATTGTTGGTGTTGGAATCAGACAGGTGTTGGCTTTGGCTGTGAAAGAAGGTACAAAACTTTGAAACACTTTGTTCATTAAAGATGCGAGAACACACAGAGCATGGTGAGGCAGCATGAGTAACAGGCTGTTATTTTCAAATATCTGTGGTCAGATAGGGTCATGTCCACTAATTCCACAGAGGAAATGCTGACACCCAGGGTAAAAACCATGTCCAGTGTATGACCACGGTTATGTGTTTGCCCTTTGACATGTTGTTTGAAGTTAAAAGAAGTGGCCATATTTAAAAAGTCAGTTGCATTAACATTGGTGGGGTCATCAACATGAATATTAAAATCGCCAAAAGAACAATTCTGTCATAATTTAAAACCAGAGTAGATAAAAATTCAGGAAGTTCTGATAAAAATCCTCCAGGCGGTTTTGGGGGCGATAAATTATAACAAATATGACAGGTTGCAGCCCTCCAACTTTAAGAGTGAGAACTTCAAAGGAGTTAAATTCATCACAGCGTACTTGATGACATTTTAAATTTTAACTTTACACGCTCACTAGCCCACCACCACGACCACTGACCCTCGGTTGACTAAAACAATCATACTGAGACGGACACAGTTCAGCTAGCTGGCTATAGTCATTCATTTGCAACCAGGATTCAGTTAAAAACATAAAATCTAGATTTGCAGACAAGATAAAATCATTTAAGATAAAAGTCTTACTTGACAGAGATCCATTTTAAATGAGTTTGTTCTGGGTGCTGGAGTTGGTGCAGTTGTCCTAATCCTTAAGAGATTACTATGATTTCTGTGTGGGATGTGCACATTTCGGTTTACTGGTCTATGCGTGGAATATGATGACAGGAATAGAAGTCTTTGGAACAGCGATGGGAGCAGACGGCTTTACATGCCAGCAGGTGGAGACAGTTGTTTGTGGCAGTGAGGCAGAGATCTGTTCAGTGAGCGGTGGTGTGTCCAGGTGTGCTGCATGAATGATTAGTCATTCACGTAAGTCATGTATGGTGGACCGCACCACATGCTGTATGTGTGCAGCTAACATTTCTGAGCCCCGTTTGTTTGGGTGAAGTCCGTCTGTCTTAAAGAGACATTCTTTGCCAGAGAATGGCACACACACCGTGAGCCCTGCAGGCGGACTGGAGCCAGTCGTGGAGGCCAAGGAGGCCAGCACCACGACCAACTGTGGGAATGGGACCAGAGATAAAAACGGACTTTCCACACTGCTTTTAAAAGTTAAAAAGATGGTTAAAATCTGATTTTGTCAGCTCAGACTGCTGAAAAGCTGTGTCATTTGTTCCCACATGGACTATCACTCATGTGATGGAGGACGGGAGCGACGGCATTAGGAGTTTTTTTAAAAGGTCAGCCATGGTGGCACCGGGGAAGCAATGAGTGGTAGCGTTAAAGAAACCGATGTTTCTGGTTATGGAGTCACCAATTCTTAGCGTGGTTGGGGAGAAAAGGGAATGAGGAGATGCCGGTTGTGGGGTTCCAGAGCAGGACTGAGCAGAATCTGCTTCAACACTACGTGTGGACTGAGGATGGAGTGTGTGAGCTGCCGAGTGTTGTGTTGGAGTAGCAGTAACAGACCTGAGAGAAGGGCTACCCGACGGTGCAGGATAGAGACGGCCTCCGGAGCGTCTGAGCACAGCCTTCTTCAGGATCCTACAACGGGAAGCGGAGGTTTTAGACCGGGATGACGGCCGCCGATCAGGCCCAGCGGCAGACCGGCGGCCCAGCCGATTACCGTTAGCCGCCAGTGCAGGAGATGCAACAGTGTCAGCAGGCACTGTCCGCCGAAAGGGATCCGTATCAGTGAGACTCGAAGCCGCAGGTGCATCTGCTGGATGGGCCGATGTGTGGAAAAGAGGCAGCCCCATCCGAGCCTTTCTTGCAGCCACGGACCACCACTTCAGCCCAGGTTGACTGATGCTTCGGAGTCAAGCAGGAGCAAAGCCTTGGAAGGGTAGAGGAGTCCCACAGCACGGTGTCCTGGATGTTAGTGGTTGTGTTAAGAGAAACAATCTGTTTCGCTTGTACTGAAGCCACATACATAAAGCCAGTCAAGCAGGGAATCTTTCTCTTTGAGTTCCTCTGAAAGTCGTCGGATGTCCTCCAAAAGGTCAGCAATCTTTTTGTTCGCTTTCTTAGAGTATGCAGTCCTCATGGGGCAGAGTTATCTTGGCTAGCATAGTCACTGGAGCTTTGTTGTGATCAGTAGTGTTGATAGCGTTTTTACGGTCATCTAGTTTAAAATCCACGTCTGATGACTAAAATCCTTAACCCACATAAAACTTAAGTTAAATAAAAAGGATATAAAAAATGTAACGTAAAAGTGTGGATTAAAACTGGATATCCTCATGGCAGTTTAAGTCTGACTGGTGAAGGGCTAATAACTCTCACTCTCATAGGGACCAATGAAGCGAGGGGACAGTTTCTTAGATGCTGTTCTGAGGGGAATATTCTTGGAAGAGAGCCAAACAGTTTGGCTGGTTATAGTAGGAGTGTTGAAATTAATCATTTCTACAATGCATCTCGATGCGGACGTGGGTGATTCTGCATCGATGCATTGACAGACCATAATTGATTATAGCCTACTAATGTTGGTAGTTCATTTTCCGGTCGTGGCAGTAGTAAGTAATGGCTCATCTGACTGACGTCATTCGTTGCATACGCGCTAAAATGGCAGAGGGATGCCAAGTGCAAGAGCAAGAGATAAAAAATGCACCTAGCATTTTGAAAGAAAAACATCTGGGCACATTTCCGATTTTGTGAACATACTGGGAAGAACGAATTGGACAAGACACACGCTGTGTGTAAAGTCTGTCACACAAAAATAAAATATCTGGGGAATACTACTAACTGGAGAAACCACGTTAGCCATTTTCACCCTGAGATGCTAACACCTGCCAAGGAAATAACGCTAGCAGACCCAGCTCAGCCAAGAATTGATGTGACACTGTCAACTTTGCCACCAAACTCTGAAAAACAGAAGAGAATAACCCAAGTGTGAGGACCTATGGCCTTACTTGGTTGTGGACAACCCCGGGTTTCGCCACCTGTTGAAGAAGCTACCGACACGCAGTCACTTTACAGAAAAGGTAATACCTGCACTCTACAGCGAAACCAAAGCTCAGGTAATTCCGTCAATGAGCCAAGCAAGTCAAGTCGCAATAACGTGAGTAACAGAGTCTTATGTTACAGTAACATCACATTACGTTAGCGAGGACTGGCAGATCTTGTCACACGTGCTGTAGATGAGAGCCGTTTGAGTCTCACACGGGTGCTCATCTGGCAGAGCTACTATTTCGTGTCGTGGAGGAATTGCAGCTGTCAGGTAAAATGTAGTGCTTGTGACTGACAATACATCGAACATGATCGTTGCAGCTCAAGTCGGAAAATTCCCTCATGTTAAATGCTTCGCACATACACTGAATCTCGCGTCCCAGCGAGCGCCAAAAGTCGCCGCGCTCTCCAGGCTTCTGGGCAAAGTGCGACGAATGTCAGCATTCTTCCACCGCAGCACTAATGTGAGCCACTGTCTGAACGAGAAACAGAAATGTCTTGGCCTGGAAAATCATTAGCTGATAACTGATGTGACAACAAGGTGGAACAGCCCACATGACATGGTCGAGATGTTCTTAGAACAACAACAACAATCTGCAATCTGTGCCGTCTTGCTGTCTTCAGAAGTCAGAAAAGGAGAGTCAGATATCTGCACTCTCAACCAAACAGATGCGTCAAATGCAGAGGACGCTGTGAGTGCATTAAAGCCAATGAAGGATGCAACCATGCTGATGTCGGAAGAGCACAATCCAAGAAAGTCTCTCATTGTCCCTCTAAAGGCACAGCTCCTCCAGAACATGACAGACACCAGAGGAGTCTCAGCCATGATCCATGAGATCAAGAATGCCATCAAAGCAGATTTCCTGAAGAGGTACAGCAGTGAGGCAGAGAAGAAGATCCTTCATACAGCCTCTGCCCTGGATCCCCATTTTAAGGGACTGCCTTTTCTCACAGAGGAGGAGAGATTGGAGATATACAGTGGAGTGACTGAGGAGGCTGCATCCTTGGAGGTAATTTCATCATGTTTCTTGTAAAATGTATAAAATTAAAAACAAACTTAAAATATTCATAACAAAAATAAAACTACAATGACTAAAAGCTTTATAAGACAGTTAAAAACAGCCATACCAATACTGTAAATATGAGCTGTTGAATTGACAGAGCACACTACCTGCCAGTTTAATGCTATTTTCTATTCTTTTGTTCAAACACAGATTGACAGTACACCTAAGAGGACTAACGTCGATCAAGCGGCTGGGGGAAGAGGAACTCTGGAAGAAGAATCACCCATTGAGGAGAGCCTCTCTCCTCCCCCCCAAAAAAGGCCTTGCTCGCGAGTTTACTGGGACAGTCTGACAGACTGACACTGAAGGTCCAGTAGAACCCAAGACCCCCTATGTCAAGACTGAAGAGGAAATGGAGAAATACTGTAAAGCCCCATTTCTGCCTCTCACCTGAAATATTGGTCTTAACCCTTCCTCTATTCAGCCACTTAATGCAATAACCATCATTGCACTGTATGTTTTCAGCTGTGCTTCAGTGCAGCAAACTGATGCTCAATTTTGAAGAGTTGCTGCATCAACATGTTTCATGGCGCCGTTGGGTTTACCTGTAAAACATATGTACAGTAAGGCTATGACCTTAGATAAGGAAGGACATAACAGCCAACTCCTGAATACCTGTGTCTTGCAGTGTCTTAATTGCTTCTCTTTTCAAATGGCATTGCATAAGTCCCTAATAAACCTAATGAAGGCTCTTGTTTTCCATCTACATGAAATAATTCAAGCAATGTCTATGATTAATAACATGCTGAAACACCAGGACATCCCATGCAGTATTATGAAGCAAATTGCAACCAAGACATTCAGAAGGCCGTGTTGTAAGTTAATGAGTTCTGCGGGAGGAAAATCTATAACCTAGAGAGAGGCTAATTTACTGCTAATCATTCAGCCCCGTTTTGGCAGGGCATAAATGTTGCCATTGTGAGAAGCCAAGTTAATAATAGATAAATCTGACAATTTTTATTAAAGAAATAAACGCTTGTTTATGAGCTGCTAGGTCAGACGTTGTTGCAGGGAATACATTTTTTAGCCTCTAAAATTATGTCAAAAATATACCAAGATAACAATCAAAGAACTTATATATAGCAGAAATAAAATATTATCATTATTATTGTCAACAACTGTAGGTGTAACCTAACATAGGAGCCTATACAGTATATCAGGGTTCAAGTCATCATTCAAACACCCTATATTGTAGTATTTTTCATTCATTCAGCTTCCTTTGCTGACATTATTAAGGAAACTACTCAATAGGTGCAACTAACAGTGTTCTCTCTCATAAAACAGTCTTTCATTTGTAAAGTTTAACAGCTAGCATTTGCCTCCCAAATATATTGGGGCATAGAAACAGAAATTGCCCGAAGTTAAATGAGAGGTGTGGTCCAGCTAACTTGGTTGGTGTATCAAAATGTTAATAATTAGTCATTTAACTGACACTACAATTGCTATATACACACACACACACACACACACACACACACACACACACTGGTCATATAATTAGAATCATCAAAAAGTTGATTTATTTCAGTAATTCCATTCAAAAAGCTTAACTTGTATAATGTATACTTTCATTCCACACAGACTGATATATTTCAAGTGTTCATTACTTTTAATTTTGATGATTATAACTGACAACTAATGAAAACCCCAAAATCAGTATCTCAGAAAATTAGAATATTGTGAAAAGGTTCAATATTGAAGACACCTGGTGCCACACTCTAATCAGCTAATTAACTCAAAACACCCACAAAGGCCTTTAAATGGTCTCTCAGTCTAGTTCTGTAGGCTACACAATCATGGGGAAGACTGCTGACTTGACAGCTGTCCAAAAGATGACCATTGACACCTTGCACAAGGAGGGCAAGACACAAAAGGTCATTGCTAAAGAGGCTGGCTGTTCACAGAGCTCTGTGTCCAAGCACATTAATAGAGAGGCGAAGGGAAGGAAAAGATGTGGTAGAAAAAAGTGTACAAGCAATAGGGATAACCGCACCCTGGAGAGGATTGTGAAACAAAACCCATTCAAAAAATGTGGGGGAGATTCACAAAGAGTGGACTGCAGCTGGAGTCAGTGCTGATCGGACAGACTGATCGACTCCATGCCACGCTGCATTGCTGCAGTAATTCAGGTAAAAGGAGGCCAAGTATTGAGTGCTTTACATGCTCAAACACTTCATGTTCATACTTTTCAGTTGGCCAACATTTCTAAAAATCTTTTTTTTGTAGTGGTTTTAAGTAATCTAATTTTCGAAGATACTGATTTTGGGATTTTCATTAGTTGTCAGTTTTAATCATCACAATTAAATGAAATAAACATTTGAAATATCAGTCTGTGTGTAATGAATGAATATAATATCCAAGTTTCACTTTTTGAATGGAATTACTGAAATAAACTTTTTGATGATATTCTAATTATGACCAGCACCTGTATGTCAGAGGCCTCAAACCTCTGGAGCAATTAGGCATTGAGTGTTTTGCTCAGGGACACAATGGGGGATGTGTCAGTGGAACTGAACCCAGGTCTCCCAAACCAAAGGTATGTTCAAGTTCAAGTCTTTATTTGCCAAAACGAAAAGTCGCATGGAATTCATTTTAGTGATTTGGCAAGACAATATTGGACAAAAATAACAACACATCATCATACATAACATAGCATAAAAACAAATCAATACTAATGAGTAAATATAACAGATAATCAAAAATCAGACAAAGTGCTAATACATTTAGTGACACTGAGGAGAAGGACTTAGTTGTATAGGCAGAGCAGATAAGGATTGTTGGTGTGAATTGAGGGACCTCACAGCCTGCGGGTAAGTGCTATTTGAAAAACGGGTAGTTCTAGATCTGATGCTTCTTAGCCTTCTGCCTGATGGTAGAAGGGTAAAAAGAGAATTAGCAGGGTGCAAAGAATCTTTAAGTATTTTCAGTCCAGTTTTAAGTAAACGGGTGTTGTAGATGTCACAGATCTTAGGGAGGTCCAGCCCAATTATTCTTGACGCTGTCCTAACTACCCTATTCAGTGCAGATTTATGTGATGGAGAAAGTAAGTATACTCTCTATCACTGCTCTGTAGAAGTGGAGCATACCCGCCTGGGACACTATAAATTTCCTAAGTTGTCTTAAAAAGAAGAGTTGCTGATGAGCTTTTTTAACAATCTGAACTTTCCACCCACTCCACAGTTTTGTCCTTGATGACCAGGGGCTGGAGCGACTTACTATTTTTATTCCTGAAATCGACAACCATCTCCTTTGGTTTTGGAGATATTGAGGGACAAGTTGTTAGTTGAGCACAACACAGCCAGCAAGGACACTTCTTTTTTGTAAGCCGATTCATCATTAGTGATGAGGCCCACCACAGTGGTATCATCAGCAAATTTAAAAATCTTGACTGAATCATGGTGAGAAAAACAGTCATTGGTATATGAGTACAAAATAGGGGACAGAACACACCCCTGGGGGGCGTCAATGCTGGTGGAAATTGATTTTGACAAGAGGTTATTAACTTTAACCACTTGAGATCTATCGGTTAAAAAGGCAAGGATCCACTTGCATAAGGACACCATAACACCCCACCCACAGCAGTTTGTCACACAGTCTCTTTGGTATAACATTGTGTAACAGAGAGAGACAGCATCTTCAACAGACCTGTTCTCCCTATATGCAAATTGGAAAGGATCCAAAGACGTAGTTGTGAAATGATTGGCCACTAATCGCTCGAAAATTTTCATGATAACAGAGGTTAGAGCCACTGGTCTATAGTCATTAGCTTATTTAAAATACGCTGGGACTTTACATAATCTAAGAGACCAATTAAAAATGTCAGTAAGGACATACGGCATTTACGACGACCATTTAATAGTGACAGCAGAGACCTGCCTTCCTGCAGTTTTGTTTTTTCAACAGAAGCCTGACCTTCCAGAAAAGGTGGTTTGGGGGGAGCTATGTCATTGAGAAATTAGAGCTGACTGTACATTCAGAGTTGCATTCAAATCTACAATAAAATTCAGTTAGTTTGTTAGGTAGCGAGGGATCATCATCAAGAACCGCGTGGTTCTATTGCTATAGTGGCAAATCACTTACATCACCAGAAGTGTTTTGATATGTACAACGTTCAACACAGACTTTAGACGGTATTCTGTTTCTTTATGATGGGTAAATTAAGGATAAATCCTACCTCTAGGTTCTGTGCATTTACATCAATGGGGATTGCACTATCAAGGCTATACACCAGATGTATCTGTGAAGTTTGCACAACAGTGGTAGTAGCATATCTAAGGACTTGTTCAACAATGTCTAGTGGGACTAAGTAAGCTTGGATTTTTATATCCCCTCAGACTGTAAGGTCATGCATTATATCGCTTAACCATTTGCACATATGATATGTCTGAGCTCCTCTTCTGACAAAGTATCCAAAGCATGCAAAGCTGGCATTTCCTTTGTAGGATCATCCACCTGGCACATTTCACGTTACTTTAAGAGTGCTAATTTTGAGTTTGAATACAGTTGCAGATCAAATATGAAAGAGCAAATATGGAAGACAAGAGTCAAACAGGAAATCTAATGCTTGCACAAAAAAAAAAAATAAATTGTTTTATGTGGATAGTAAAACACGGAAAATGAGCTAAGTAAAGATAAGATATTGGTTGGTTACATTGATTTCAGCTCTTACTGTTTGTGTGTGGGTGATTTCATTGGAATGTGGATCTTTCATATTATTTTGAGAAGTGCCTATAATTAGCATGTTCCACATTTTATGGTGTGTCATGTAGTATAGGACACTGGTCCTGAATCAGTCCCACCCGCTCTTGTTCTTGGTTTTGACTTGGTCTTAAACCGTCAAAGTCTTGGTCTTGTCCCAGTGTCCATACACTCTGGTCTTGGTCCTGACTTGGTCTCGGTTTGGGTGGCCATGACTACAAAACTAAGCTTCAGGTCCTTTGACTCTTGCCGTGAGGGCAAACGTATCTGACGGTATTGTCAGGATCCTTGGTGTATGGTGATTAGATCTGTATCACTCGGTGTTTAGCACTGTCACCTCACAGCAAGAAGGTCGTGGTTTCAAACCCTGGTTGCCCCGGCCTTTCTGTGTGGAGTTTGCACGTTCTCCCCGTGTCCGTGTGGGTTCTCTCTGGGAATTCATCAGGGCTTGCTATGCAAACTTCCTTCAAGGTAAGGTACTGTGATAGCTAGATTCAAGTAACAGACACATGTTTTCCTTCTACTTACCCGGTAGTTCAACTTCCTCTCTAAAATTTCTCCAAGCAATCACCTGTTTTGTCCGGTCTGTATAAATATGAAGTAGTCCCACAGAGCTTGCTGGTGAGAAGCGCGAGTGAAGTTAAATCAACGTTTTAATTGGAAAAAATACAAGTAAAAAAAGAAGTTAACGCCGAGCTCCTCCCGCCAGAACCCCAACTTGAGCAATTGTCCGCGATGTATCACATGGTCACATCACACTTCACATCGCCGGCAGTGCACCCAGTGTGCAGCCAGGCAGGAAATCACGTCCCTCAGTGTCCTGTAATTGCACCGCCTGCAGCACTGGCATCACGTTGTGTGTCAAACCAGCAACATACTGAATGCAAGTTTCAAGGATTACTTTAAGTCCTCAAATGTAGCTGTGAAAATGTTCCACAGCCCAGTGGCTAGAAGTCAGAGAACAGGTTTTACACTGCTCAAGGATTGGCAGGTGTAAGCAACAA